CGTCGTCGGCCATGGCAAAGAAAGATGCCTATCTACGGAAGCTTGCCAGCTTAGGTAGCGGCAGCAAATATGGAGAAGGTTCGTTCTCAGGTTGGGCGAAAATGGGCTGCGGGGGTTTGATAGCGCGTAGATCATCACGATCTCGTGAAATCATCGTCCCAACAACTGCCACTTCAACCACGGAAAAAGAAACCAGCTCTCCAGAGTTGCCAGATCAGGCCGAGTCCTCTGCGTCTGCCATGGGTCTCTTGTCCTTGGTTTTATTAGTGGTTTCTTAGTTGTGGTTGAAGTGGCTGTTGCATAATTAGACATCAAGAGCAAACACTGCTTTTTGAACCTGTAAACTTCTTGGAGCCCGTAAATTCCTGCAAGTATTGCACTCCTGAAAAAACTTTGAGACATCTGAGCTCTTAACTTAAAGATTTAAACACCACTTACGTATGCAGACCTTCTACTTGCTTTGCGCCGGCTGAGGATGTTGACAGCTTAGGGAGACAAAGCTTAGAAGCTTAGGAGAATATCAGAGTCCTCCGAGACTTAAAAGTCTGAACTTTTTCAGGCGTGGAGAGTTTCTAGATCTTCAGTGAGTGAAGGATCACCTAGAAACTTAGACTTCTCCAAAAGAATATCTATACGTAAATAAAGAAAGCTTTGAACCCAAAACCATTCAAATTGCTATTTTTTGAAAGGACCCGTATAAAAAATCTCCTACATGAGTAAAAGTTTTATTTGAAGCTGTGCAACTAGTCCCGAAGGTTCTCACATGAGTTAACTTTCAAATTCGAGTAGTTAACACACTAACAGAATCATCTTTCGTACATTACTTGATCATTGTCTCATTCAGGTACCGATAATTCTTCCATTACTGAACGTCAATCCATGTAATGTTTTCTTGAAATCTTCTGCGTGCTCATTAAGAAGTACTTAAAGAAAATAAACGCGCATGAAAAACTTAAGGTCTCCAAGTACGAACTTTCGAATTCAAGTCGGAAGGTTATTCAGGAAGATGCCGGAAGCTGAAGAGCTGAAAGCGCAGACTGCAGGGATCACGAAGAAACACCTACCAGAATATGACTGATGCGGTCCAACAATAGAGCAGTCGCGGCCTTGGTCTACGTGTCCACGTCAAGAGTACTCTCGATTTTTATACATCGCGCATAAAGCAAAAAAAGGACGTGTGTGTATGTGTATGCGAACTATGTGTATGCGAACTATGTGTTGGCCTCTTTGCTGTCGAGCCGCATCCCGGGGGAATTCGGAGTGTGGTAGGGTGCTCGCAGGGGGTTCATGGACATTCGCTGGCTAATCGTCAGTGCTGGCCTACCATTAGTGTGCTATGGAGATGTGCGGCATATAACCCACATAGCGCATGGCAGCACAACCGTAAGGATGAAATTCCAGCAGCTTTCTCTGGATATCATGTACTGGGATTGTCTGGTACAAAACGCCGGCGTTCAACATACAGATCCTGCTTGTTGCATGTCTCGGCACGGTACTTTTCGATTGTATGAGTGGCAAGTCCGAACATGCAGCGGGAGTTGCGTTGTGCTTGCGCGACAAAGTCTTCGATGTGTGCAACGTCAAGCAGGTGTATGACATACCTAGCCCATGCCAGGGCAGACTGGGTATGCTTCGCGTCAAACGTGGTGACTGAGACTTTTGTTTCATTGTGGCATATCCTTGGGTACAAGCTTGCACGGTTAAGGAACAACAGCGAGTTGGTCAGTTGTGGGCGTATGTTGGAAGCATCATTTCACATTTGCCTTACCGTTGTGTGCCAATCGTTTTCACGGATGCCGATGCCAAAAATGGGTTGTACGAAACAGAAAATGGTCTGCAGCGCATTGAATCTCCTACTATTGGGCCTTGCACTCCTGAGCTTGAAAACTCCAGCGGCACAATGTTCAGAAGTATGTTGGAACAGCAGTTTCTATGCTCTGTCAATTCCTTCAAGGGCTCTAGGCATACATATTTCGGCAACATTGCTCGAGTCAAATCCCGTCGACCATGTCTGCTTACCTCAAAGCTTGCTTAAAAACAATCTTTCTTGTGGACACTCAGTGGGCGCGCGCCTGCAGCGAGTATTTGGACCGGGAAAGCGTGATCACATTGTTACGAGGCGATCGTAGACGTGAGGTGGTCAGTAAAGTTGTTGCGCGACGCAGAAGCTCCGAGACTGACAGATATGCTGCGGACGATTGCGTTGTACATCCTCCTGCTCCTGCTTTACTCTGGAAAGAAATGCGAGAAGTGGTATGGGAGTCAACATTTAGTCTATATCGGAAACAACCCACGCGACAACAACAAAGACCTGCAGACACTCAAGCGGCGATTGAGGAGCATGTTGAAGCATGTTTCGTGGTGGCCAACCTCCCTCCAAGCACAATCGCAATGCCAGAACGAGAAAATTCACATCAGTTTCTTGCGGAAATTTTGCACCAATGGCGCGCAGCACTCAGATTCTACAACACTAGGTCGGCCAGGGACAGGCTTCTCAAACCAGACGCAAAAACACATCTGGCTGACGGAGTGGTGGAGCTCAACTATGCTCATCGTCGTGGAGATCCTGCTCAAGTCTGGCAACTTGGTAGATGTCTTGGTAGATGTTTCTGGGTTCAACATTGGGCCCAAACGTAGAAGGTATGATTCGTATGATACTGTGTCGACGGGTCATCCTGGCGCTGTGGAGTGGGTCAGATTACATGGGCAGGAGGGGTGAAGATGGTGGATGTTCTGGTTGGGAAGTGGATTGGGGGCATGTGCCATAAGCGCGAACTTGCTACTCAACTTGAACCGGTCAGGTCATTGGCAGAAGCCAAACAGCTTGCTAAGTCAGATTTGCAGGGCGTTTGTCGGCAAGGTTCGCAAAACGGTACTTGCGTGGGGAATTCCGGGTGCAGTATGGAGGCAGTTGGTCAATCCAAACGAGTACTACGTGCGTCGTTGGCATGGGCTGGGCTTTGATGACACATTGGAGACGAGTGTTGTTGGCAGATGTGTACTGGCACTATGAACTTCCGTTCGCTTGTACGACGACGTGGCACCTTTGCAGTGGCATCTCAGCCAAAATTTTCAGCTTGACAAACGAAACAGCAAGCCTGCTTGTGAAGGGTTACGAACGATCAACACCTTTGAGCCCCTGGGTCAAGCGTTCATCAAAACCTTGTGGGACAGAGGGCAAAGACAAAGCGATAGGGAATGGGCTTCAGGCTATATTGCTCACAAGTCTCGTGTTACGCCTATTATGCAACGCAGAATCATCAAACACAGACTGCGGCGAGCTGGTGAGTCTCACGGCGACTCTTCCTATGATGCTGCCAATGCTTTTCCGAGTGTGGCACACGCCGTGCGTGACCATGTCATTGACAATACTTGCAGACAGGTGGACCGACGACTTCTTAAACCGCGCAACATGCTTCGGATCGCAAAGTATTCATTCAAAGCGGTTCTGGTTCGCCCCAAGGAGATTCACATGCTGGCGATCAGTTCCTTGATCAACATCACCCTGCTGTGGATATCTGGCTTGCCCAACTTGCAGAACAAGAAGGGGAGGATTTTTACGTGCAAGACCCTGTCAACCAGCATTTTGCGGACGCGTCTGTTTCAACTTATGCGGATGATGTGGCACGCGCTATAATATGTCAGTCGGCAACAGGGCTGACCGCCAAACTCAACATCGCGAACTCGTTTTGTCTGCAGCGCTTCGGCCTCTGGATGCCTCTGGGCATTGCGCAGAATGTTGGGAAACAAGTGCATGTCCCATGCTTTGTTCGGCAAGGTGCAGATACACTCGCGTGGTGTTTTTTGAGGATATGCTGCCAGGGAAGACTTGTCGTGTGGCTAAGTACTTGGGGCTTCTACACCACGCCACAGGCCAAGAGATTCCAAAGGTGGAACAGGTTCACGAGTTAGGATTCATGGATATTCATGGTACGGTTTCTAGAACAGGTGAATAGTACCGTCTGCAAGGGTGGAACAGGAGCTAGAGATAGAGGGTGAAAAGAGGTCCTAAAGGTGAATCCAAGAGTGGATTGCAGGGTCAAAGAGGCAGAAACAACAATATGATGACGGTGGCGAGACAGGGTGAAAGGTTTGGAGACCTTAACTTTGGGCCTTTAATGTCAGGCTTTTGGATGAAGAGACTGAGTGAAGTGAACAAGATTGAACAAGTGAATTCGTTTACAAGGAGCGACTTTTGCGTACGCGTGAAACTAATGAACGCGTAAACGAAACAAGAGACTGAGAAAAATATTATAATACGGGCTCTTGGAGAAGTAAATTTTAAAGTGTGTGAAAAAGCCCCTTGTCGACAGCTTCTAGCCATCTCTCCCGGCACAGCGACGACAGAAAGAGAGATGGAAAGCCGGCGTGTGGACAAGAACTAGAATCAACGTCATTCATTAGCATGCAGAATTGAACAGGAACATCTGCCAGTCAAACTTCTGCTGGGTCGTCTGAAATGCCAGACAATAATAGCCGCTACAGCAATCAGTTGGAAAATGCGCAACGCACATTTGGGATTGTCATGCTGGCAGTTCCTAGCTATTCCTGCCAAGCGTCTCTCGCAGCCGGGGCTTGCAGCTTCCATCTCCTTTGGGGCCTGGCTTTGCAGCTTTGCAAATGCAACCGACTGTAGAAACTGCATCGCGGTGCATCCACCTGCGGTTCAGCAGGCGAACGGAGCCATGAAGGATGCATGCCGTCTCGAGACACGCGGCTGTGGGTCCCATGTAAAAGATCACGCATACTTGCTATGGAAGGTTGGGATTGCGAGGTTCTTAGAGACTCAAAGCCTTCAGCAACTTCATTTGAGGAAGCAAGCCCTCTGACTACATCTCTCTGAACTGGACAACCGACAACCATCAAGACGCCTTGCCCTGTCGAAGGCAAGCCCCATCATGCTATGCTCTTCTCATCAAGGTTCTGTCCGATTCTTGCCGTTTCTATTTTGATGAACGTTCCTACAACCATTGAGTGTAGTTCAAGCCTCAGTTCCGCACACATTCGAGACAGCACTCTGCCGGTGTCCTCGCAGAAGTGACAAGCTCTGTCGAGGCATTGCTCGACAATGAAGACACGTTGATCTGGGCTCCTGAATGCTCTCCTTCACACCCAGTGGTGAGTCAGCTATGGAGTAGAAGATCGCCTGCCCTGCAAGGTCAGGATCAGGCAATCCTTCTCAAAGCCATGGCTGACACTGAGCTCCAGACCACCTAGCTGGTTCATGCCAACCTCGAGCGACACCCGTGTGCCTTGCAACGTAGGACAGTAAGAAAACACGCAAGTAAGTCCATGTACCATTTCCGGCTCAGCAGCGCAAGGAGGGCTTCTCGAACAGCGTCAGAAGAGAGTAACCTCGGCACCGCACAACATACTTCCTCGTACAGTCTCCTGGCTCTCCCCTTGCATGAACCACGATTAACTGAGACGATTGCCTTTAAGGGTCTCTGAGAATCTGTCGTATCCCGTGTCCAAATAGTTCCTCAGGGAGCACAGCAGGGCCGCCCTGGATGGACAACAGATGGAATGTGCGCGTCAACTCTCGTCCTTCTGGAATCCTTCATGGCCGCTGCCACTCGTAAGATGTCCATGACCTGGTACTGAATGCGTTAATGAGGCTTTAACAGTATTCTCTTGCCGGGCCTCCTCCCTGCTTAGGTCGCACATCGTAAGAACGTGTCTGGCGGTCCTGCAAAGGGTTGGCGTGGAACTTGATTTCAATGTAGCATGGGCATCGCGGGCATCGTGGGCCTGGGCGCCGCGTTTGGCGGCAAAGGGTCACTCGGCTGATACCCCAGCCTGGCCACGTTAGCCACATTGGACCGCTGCAAAATCTTTCTCGGCTGATGGGGGTGTCCCAGACTTAGAGAACCGGAGAAGCTCATGTCCGAAGAAGCCCGACCACAGGACTAATCCATTTTGCGCGAGTGCGAATGATCGAGCGATGGGGCAAAGCGGCAAACTGCGTGTTGCAACTTGTCGCGGCAGAGGGGACCTCCTGTCGACGTGCTTGTACAAGAAGGAGGTAGCATTGTCATTCTTCAACAACCTTATTGATCGGGTCTCTTGCAGTTCAACCTCCCCGTCGAGTCCAAGGAGTGTACCAGTCCTCCATACCGAAGACGCAGGAGCCCTTGGCCAGCAGATTGCTTTTGCACAGTCGGACACTAGTCAAAACAAACCCAACACATCAGAGACAGCGAGAGAAAGGTATCCTCTTCCAGCCAAAAGTCGACTCGCTCTTTGATGGGGCACACTCAATACGGCTGCGTGAAGCTGCAAACGGCGACTCACATAAGCTACGAACGGCTACAATGCTACAAGCTTACAGCATTTCGGACACAACTCACGGGCGCAAATAGTGCGATAGTGACAACCGTCAGTCCTTTACGGGTGGCTGCGGCTGGTCGGCCAGGGATGCATTAATCTGGCGCAATGGCGCTTCAAGATCTCAGCGCCGCCCTCTGTGCCACCTTCTGCGCCACCAGAGTATGATGGGGGCCTCCCATAAACGGAGCTCCAGCAAGTCCAACTCCGGCCTTGACTGAGACTTGAGATTCTAAAGTACCACAGATGGTCACACAGATGGTCACACAGATGGTCACACAGATGGTCACAGCATTTTCGGCGATTGCAAGGCATGAGCCCTCCTCCCATGCCAGTCGTAACCTTGGGACTGTGACCGAAACTTAGAATGATTCCCAACTTCTGAAACGAAAATGAGAGCACTGCGTCAACCAGAGCTCTCGGCACTGAGCGGCCTTACTTTCACATCCATGACCGCGTTTACTGCCATGCATTGCAGCGTGATGCTTCACTCAACCTGTTGGTTCCCTTCTGGGTTGACGACGAGAACCATCCAAAATGTGCTTCCACGCTGGATCCCTCATCGGAACAGCTCAGCCGCAGTCTGTAAAAAACGAGCGAGCAAAACTTGAGAACCCGGCTTGCAGTTTGGAGCTTTGAGGCGCGTCTCAAGAGGCGCGAACATAACTGACATAACTGACATCAAACAGACCGCAAGACTTTTTTGCACAGCCAGGTCTCGAACCATGCGCTCCGGATGAAAGGCTGCGCGGGGCTGCCGCTCCACCTTGGGCTGCGATCCTAGCAAGAACCCATCTCCAACCACCAATTGCAGTCCCGGGAACCAGAGGCTGATAAAGTCGGACGACGGCCTCAGACGCAACGTTATGAAATATTGGATTCCACGTAGCTGGTACTCAGCCAATCGAGTGCAGGATTCCCGACATCCCGTGTTTCAGGAGCTGCCAACCTGGACGAGCAAACGTGCTTGCCCTTGACTGAACAAGAAGAACTCAAGATCAGTTTTCGCACCTGATTGCACCTGGAGAGCGTAGTCCCATGCGACAGAACTGCTGGTAGACTCCCAGCCTGAAACTGCAGCTGCTTGCTACCATACTCTTTCAATTTGCGGTCGACAGCGAGCAGCATCAGGGTCCAAGCAAGGTAGTGGGCTGGGCTTCTGAGTCTCCTGCTACCTTCCACAAGGTGGCAGGGAGTTGGCTTACATCAAGATCTGGCGTTCTTCCAAGTGAGGCCCCATTTTGTGGTCCCGGAACACCCTACTTTTAACACAATTTCGTGGCGAAAACATCTCATGGGCTTGACAGGTCAAGCATGCTGCTGCCTGCTTTGCTGGAGCTGCCACATGGGTCCCTTCTTCAACCTGCAAAAGAAGTCTCTTACTGCCAGAGTGCGCCAAAGTCTGTCAAGGTTAACATGCCATCCTCTTCAGCGTCAGCACCTTGATGCTCCTTGTCTTCCTGCTTCTGTTGCTCACACGGCGACGACGTCAGCCATACAGCTTCACATGGTTTCAGTAACGTTGGACGTCAAGCATGCGAAGTTCTGGCTTGTGCTGTGCAGCCTGTGCCGCAAGACAAGATGCTACTTTGCGAACCTCACGTGATGTCCTCTCCGTGGTTACCATCATCTGTGTCACCGCCCAGCTGCACCTGGGCAAGAGCGATCCGGTCTCAAGGATTCCAGTGTGCAAGGATGCAAAAGGGCAAATTGGGTCAACACCTCTTCAGAAGGCTCGATGTTCGAATGGGCAGAGTCCTAAAGCACGCGGAGCGCGCAGCACATGTCAAGTTCGGCGTGCTCAACACGGAAGCAGGGTACCATCGTCACAGACTTTCAAGAGCAGATCACAGGCCTGGTCCTCAATACCGCTGCTCTCCGATTCGGTGACTGCCTTGTGCAAACGCAAGCCATGCCAAGCAACAGGTGTGCAGCACCAACAGTGGCACGGACTGTTGGTTGGGAACGCAACACCACAGCAATCGTTTCCCATGTTGATGAGGGTGCAGCAGCATGTTCCTCGTCGACAACGTCTGGAAGAAGATCAGGCTCCTCGATGTTAATCGCTGTAGCAGCGGACGTCAACCGACATTGGAGGTAAAGCAAAGCTCACCAACTCAAGAACTGATATGCTCTTGTTACCTTGTCGGTCTCGGGCATGGGGATTCGCACAGCATCTAGCACGCAATGCGGCGCAAACAATGCATCCGCATTTCTCCCAAGACAAGTCTGAGCCCACCACCACGCAGAACGACTGTGCGCTGCCACGGAAAACTTTGAACTTGAGACCTTGGTACACACACACACACACGTACGTGTTGCACATGCGTCTGCAAATGCAATGGATCTAGGCACTATTCCCTTGTGTGTCACAGATTGTGTGCCATCTCCCTTGGCACCCTTGGCACGAAAAGCAGGCGGCAACTCCCCGAACCCTTCATTCGAAACCACTGCAAACGGCACTCATGCTAATGGTAGGTGCGTGTGTCGCTTGTTTTTTAACCAAACCGTTGCAGCCAACCTTAACTCGGTGGGCTGTCGATCATTGTCTTGTTGAATGATGCGCTTCTTGCCCTACCTGCAACCCATCACGCTAAACCAACACATCTTCAAAAAGGTATCAAGACAGCAGGCCACTTGAAACATCTTGCAATGCTCGGCGATTCATGCCTGACAGTCTGACAGACACCTGCAACGATAAACTTTTGAGCAAACATACCAAACATGTAAGGCTGGGGCCATACAGCGATCACGGCTGTTGTGGAAATTATTGCCAAACAGCGCCTCAACGTGGTCATGATGAAACTCTTCGGAAACCCGGATAGTTAACTTGCTTTAGCCTGAGGCACACACACTAGCTGGAAGTGACATGGACATGGACACTTGCAGAAGAAGCTCCCACATCGCTTTTGCCTTGATACATTCACTGGAGCTTGCCGACAACTTGAACATCCGTGTCATGGCCTCTGCGCCGAAAACATTGATCATTTTGCCGTGCCAAGCTCGAAGCCTGCATACCAGTGCATGCGAAGCAAAAACAAGCACGGAAAGCATAATAAAATCAACAAGGGGCCCATCCAAGAGTTCATTCCAATAAGAGATGCTTCTTTCTCTTCGAGATCGGTCCCTCCTGCAAATTTTGAAATACAAAGTTGGGGCCTCACACGCTTGTGGAGTTGAATACGTGGGGGTTGGAATGTAAGATTTCGGACCCAGACGTTGTGTCAACACTGGCAGGAGGTTTAGGGCGCATCGCTACGTTTGTCGCTCCCACATGCCAAATAGCACGCAAGGCGAAGAGCGGGCCTTTCCACAAAGAACTATGGTGCTCTAGTGCGTGTCCTGATTCCCGTGAGTCAAACTGTTGTTGCTCTGGTGCACAGGTCATTAGCATGACAAAGGGGGGACAATGAAAAAACAAATAACTTTAAAAATCACTCCGGACTAAGAAGCGAAAACTCCAGCCTGGACCACGGCATCCATCCCGACGAAACGCGCAGAAGTGCAGACATGCTACGCGTTGAGGCACATTGTTTAATGACATGCTTAGCCGAAAACATGTCGGTTGCACAATGGTTTTTGGCACTCGATGACGACGTTTGTCGAAACAGCGCTGTGGCGTGTTTCCTATGGTTTGAAGCATTCAACTGCTCCATCGAGGCTGAATTGCAGACCGGTCAAAGAATTGAGACACACAATGTTGAATCAAAGGGGCACCGATATGCCGACAATGCATTACGTGCATGTGTCAGCCGCTTGGAACTTCGCTTCGCATTGTAACAGTGTCAGCTACCTTAGTCCTGCCTTGAAAACATCTCTAGACGGCTGCGTAAAGTGTCCGAACCTAACAGCCCTTGTGCTCGGCCCAACACCACAGAGATGGCCCTTAAACATTTGGGTCAGGGTCAAGGTCCAAGGATCCCATTAATTACTCAAATTGTTCCTTGCAGCGGCGCAGTTTCTTCGAACACCGACAGCCTCCGCGGCAAACCTTCTGATGCACTCCAGTATGTCAATACACCATCCCGTAAAAACAGAAACCGAATCAGCTTGAACAGCGTGGTTTTGTATGGAAAGGATGCGCCGGACCTTGTCATACCTCATCGCACAAGGTCCTGCACCCCCCAACCATACATAGCGTACACATGCCATGTTGTGGTGATTAAACATGATCGTGTATAAGTTTTTGGCCGCCTTCCCGCATTCTTGCCTTGTGATTTCGGCCCAGGTTTACATGGAATGGGCCACAACAGCCAACCGTAGCACCCGGCGCAGCATTGCGGCACCGCGGCCCTTGGGGCCGGCACCATAGATTCAAGCCCGAACAGGAATCGCAACGGTTTTCTTCGAAAATTTTGCTTGATAATGAATATTCATTTCCGTTTGGCCTGTTGGGTTTCCATGGACTCACATGTTTGCCTTCTTCTTGATTAGACAAGATCTCGCTCGTTTCTCTTATCATTTCATCTCACCTGGCTCCCCCTCTCTGTCTGCTTCATCTACTCCTCTCTGTCTTTCCTTCACTGCGTTCTTTCGTCGCTCCCTCATCTCACCTGAGGCACCCCGAAGGCTCACTCCAGCGTCGTGTGACCTGCCGCACGTCGGCGGCCAGAAATTACTCTGCTTAATTAAGCTCTGAACTGAGCTTGATGGTGGCCTGCTGTCGGGAAGAAGTGACTGGCAGAAGGCGCTTGTTGCGCAATGAGGAGGTGGCCAGGCATTCTAAGGATCCTACGGCCCTCCTCGCCCACCCCACCGCCGTTGCAAGCAAACACGACCCCGCGCAAA